AGGGTCATGCATGATATGCAGTTATCTTAAGGAACTCTCAAAGAGAATGGATCCTTAGTTTCCAACAAAGTTTGGGACCTAACACTTCTACTAAAGTAAAGCTTCAAGGCATTAAAATTGGATTATAAGTGTGCATAGAATGAAAGCCGAGCATAATCAACTTTTACTTAGATTCACTAGAGGGATTATACTTGATCACGAGGGATTGTGTATCACACCACCCTTTAATGCCCATCATAAATTAGATAAGAACCTCTCTTTGTTAGTTGGAAGACGTTAAAGTTGTTTTCTTTGAACATGACTCAATAAGATGTGTAGACTCATTTGTTAAACCAAGCGTTTTGATAATAACAAAACTAAATTATTTATGTTGATTGGATATCATGAATCAAGTGACAAAAAGCCTCAAGAATATAGTGTGCGTTAAGAACTCTTAATGAAATTATCTCAAGTGTGTTGTACACGAAGAAATGGAAGTGAGCATGAAGAACCAAATAATAGGATCAACATGAGCACGTACACTAAGAAAAGAAGAAGAAGAAGAAGAAGAATCAAGAGAAGGCAAATGGCTTTAATAAGTTATATTTATTTTATTCTTTTCTTAGATAAATTTATGAAAACTAATTAAGAGCAAAAACAAAATTTGAAGTAAGAATGCATCATATAGAAATTCATAAAATCATAAGTCCTTTAGGTCAAAAATGTCATCCATGCAAGGACAAAAAATGTCCATGCATGTTTGACACATATTTACATCTACTTATGATTCACTTTATTCCATCCAAGCTTGGATAATAAGCATCCCATGCGTGTGTGTGTTTATTTTGTGACCAAACTGGACCTTATTCAAGCTTGAACCACAACTAGACCTTACCAAACTTAGAGGCCAGATCTCATTCAGGCTTGAACTGCAATTAGACCTTGTTTGAATTAGAGTATTGGAAGTGAAGATGTAGCACTGTATACTAGTTCATGCTTAGATATATTTGTTTTCATGCTTGATTGGTAGGTTAGTGTAAAGAAATGTCTAGGATAAGCTTCTATAATATAATTCATACTTTGTTGTTATTTTTATCCATACTTGATCTATCCTAAGTGTCAACTTGAAGTGTAATTAAGAAGCAACCCACACTTGGATTTTGCTGACTCCATGCTTGAACAAATAACACATTTATTAGTCTTCAAGTCTGACTTAGAGTGAGCCTTAATACTAAACAAGCTAATTAAGCTTGTTCATAAGTGCCCCGGTGTGTTTTACATGACAGTGAAGTAAGGTGCCTCTATATACTCACCTATGCTTGAATTAGAAGTTGCCCACACATGTTTTAGGCTTATAGTGAAGCTTAATGCTTTAACTTTCATCAAACACACTTGAATCCAAAATGGTTCTCACTTGGATCAAGTGAAGTGATAAATGAGCTAAAAGTGAAGTTAGCTCATTCACACTTGGATCATGCTTGTCCACTCGTGAATGAGAGTTCTCATAACATTTAATGTACTTCGCGAGAAAAAGTGCGTTATTTGTTTTAGATCATTTCAACAAGTCTTCAATGGCTATAATCTATCTACTAAGGGTTCTAGTGGTCCAAAGAACATTGTTTTATGTATAAGACCTTATTTAAATTGGTGGGTAATAACATTGAAAGATCATTTAGTGTCTTGCATTGAATTGTTATTTTATTATTCTATAAAAAAAGCTCTCAAGTAATTTACAAGCTTTCATTATTTTATTTATACTCTTTTCAAAGAGTTTTAGCTGTGAAAGGCTATCTCTTTCTATTCTTTAAAGTTTTAGAAAGATTTTTCTAAGTGTTATTATAACAGCTTACTTGTATAAGTAAGTGCATTGTTGAAAATTAAGATTGATTTTGTCTTGTGGTTATATTGTAATGGCAAACACCCATTAAAACTTGTGTTCATAGTGAAAAATTTCAAGTGTATTTTGAGAATTAGGGGTAGGCCAAGTGGTAGGTTGAACTAGGATAAATCATTATGTTTACTCTTCTTTTCATTCAAAAACTCATTTTTTACTCACCAGTTTGTGCATAATCTATTTTAAACTTTGCATCATCTTTTTAGTTGGAAAAGTTTTTAAGAAATTTTAAGACCTCAATTCACTCCTTTCTTTGTGCTAGCTTGATTCTACATTAGGTATCAGTGCAAGATCTCTTGATTAAAACTTTACAATCTAAGAGGATCCTATGGTTGAATTTGGTGTCAGTGTTCTTCCAAAGGGTGCTAAAATTAACCTCTTCAGGATTTAATGATAAAAACTATATATTATGAAAGAGCAAAATGAGATTATTTTTTGAAACATTCAATTTGGATTTATAGGGTATTGTTAAGAGAGGTCCATATATCTCACTAAAAGTAATAATGTTGTGCAAGTGAGAAAAAGCAAAGATGAGGATGATGAAAAAGACGAGAATTTGGTGCTACTCAACTCAAAAGCAAAGCTATTATTGCTAATGTCCTGAGTCAACAAGAATAATTTAGAGTTAACAATCTTGACACTACCAAAGAAATGTGGGGTTTTAAAGATTGTTCATGAAGGCGCAAAAGGAGTAAAAGAAAACAAGATGAGCACTCTCACTCAAGAGCACAAGGATTAAGGAGGGTGAATGCATCAAAGACAAGCAAATAATATATACTCATCTAATAAACAAGCTTGCTATACTCGGCAAGACATATCTTCAAAAAGAGCAAGTTAGGAAGATTATGAGAGCATTACTAGTAGAATGACAGCAAAAAAAATTATAGCCATTGAAAAAGCAAAGAGTGAATCAATAATTTTTGTAGCTGCTTTATTTAGAAGTCTGTCTCAGCATGAAGGAAAATTGGTTATATTAAAAACTGATGCTAAGCAAAAGGAGAAGAGCGTAGCTCTTAAGAGAAAAATTGAATTTCGTGAAGTCCACTTTTATTAGAAAAGACATGAAATCTATTGTTTGCAATATAATAAATGAGGCAAAAAAAAAAAAAAAACTAACGTTGGATTGAGGGAAAAAACTTGATTGTCAAAGAGTTGGAAGGAACATAAAAATTTGGAAGAGTTACCATCACATTATGTTTTGACAATATTAACTTCTCATGATCTCATGCTATCCAAATAAATACATAGAAGCCAATGACTGATTATCTATGTGACAATGCCACTTTTCATCGGATGTACGTGAAGTTTGGGATTCGAACTCATATAAGAAATTAATAATTTTAAAAGAAATAAATGCATAGAAAAAGAAATAGGACGCAACCTAGATTTGTTTTTTTTGAAGTTCAATCACTGTACACTTTGCTTGATCTGATATAGTAATGGTCCATCTATGCAGCCCATCCATGAAAGGCAAAAACTAGGAGGGCAATTGGCAATATATAAATTGGCTGTGATTATGAATGAGGAGTTAGGATTGGAGATGATGGACTGTGGACAGCTGGGGAAGCACAATGGAACACGTCATATCAATTTCATGGATTCCAATTGCTGAGGAATCGCCACGTGGTTTGACAACATGGCACGTGTCGTAATTGTTTTCGTGAAAGTGACTGTGACGAAGATCCTCCCCCCTATCCAGTAACGTTATCTTAACCTTCTCTCTCTCTCTGCTTTTTTTTTTTAATATTTTAATCGGGCATCTTCTTCCGGTTGAGACCCATCCTCATCATTAACAACCTTTTCTCAGCGCAGCATGCCATTATCGTAATTACCTCAAGCTCTTAGCCTTGTTTCAATAACCACCAACCCCTCTTCCATAACTAAAATTATAAACACAAAACCCTCTTCCCCCGCAAGAATATTTAATAAAGTTTGTAATAAGACAAGATTCCAACTATTACTTCTCAATTTTTTCTCACATTCGGCCAAAGGATTTGGAGTTAATTTCAGCTTTCATGCATGTCACACTGCATCAATGTTCTTAGTGGATGCTTACCAATCACTAAAAATACACAAGATGCCACTAGCCAATAAACTTCTACAAGTGTACCAAACGCTACGATATCAAATACAAAATACATTGACAGTTCAAGTATCGATATTGAGACGTTCACCCAACATTCAAAACATGTTCCAACTTTTGGATTTATCACGCATATATCATAAAAATCATTATGACCTTCCATCTTGATCTCTTAATAAATATAACACTGGGCTTCCCAATCACAATCTTATAGCAAGAGTCACAAATCCAAAACGGGTCCAATCCGGTATTTCTGCCCGTATACCCGCCAAATTTGATAAGCTGAGCCGGCGAAAGAGCTCATTTTTAAATCAGATTAGCCTAGCCCACGTGATTCATGATAAAATAGAAGTTTTCATCACGTTGTTATAATAAATTTTATATTACTATATTACTTATGATTTAAGTTATATTAATATTATATTACTTTTCAGTTTTCATCACTTCTATATTTTTTTTCCTCATTTTGTGCTAATTTAGATGGAAAAAAATAAAAATCGATTTAAAAGTTCAACTCTCAAACTTACAAAAGTTTGATCATAAAACAAAATTCAGAAGTAAATCACATTTTTCAGCTCTAATTTTACATAAAATTACAAGATTTTTTCTAAATTGTACAGATTTATATAATTTCTCAATTTTATTATATTTAATAATTCAGTGTAATAATTTTAACTAAAAACATCTAATCTAAATAATACATATTTTATATTCCTGGAAAATAGCAACTTAAGAAACCCTAAAATTAACTTTTTTTATAGTTATGTTATATGTACGAATAATTAAAGTATATTAATTAATATACGAAAAAAAAAAACGCATGAACCATGATTTTAAAATAGATTCATTGTTTTTGTTTTCCCTTTTTGAAAAAGATTCACTGTTGTTTTGGCAAAGAATTTACTGTTGGTTTATTTTGACCTTTATTCCCAAGGCGTATTAATCATACGTCAAATTCCACCGTGTTTCCAACAGCCAATAAACGATAAGAAGCAATTGCAATTTCCTGAAAACAAGGGATTTTACGTTTTTGCACTCCTGAGTTATGTCAAGCTCTGGACCAGGCTCCCTCCTCCTCCCTCCTCCTCCTCCAAACTCTTTTTGGCACTATGTTGACCTTTGGGGACTAAGCGGCACGGTCATGGTTGACGAAATTGCCCTCCATCTTCGTTGAAATCTCGAAGCTTTTCCTTTCCTGCCTCGTCAAAGATCCTCTCTGCTCTTTGCCTTGCTTGCTCGCACTTTCTCTTCCATTTCCCTCTCTTTCTCGCTCATGAGAGCTGCGTCAGCTTCAACAACCACAGAGGGGGGGAGAGAGACATCAATGGATTTCTTCATTGAAGGTGTGGGGGAGAGCTCCTCTCCACCGCGCACCTTGAGTGGTTTCGGCAATTATGACGTGAGGAAAGATGTGTATAGTCGTTTAGTTGAAAACGGCCATGGCCAAGAGGCGGAATTTCGGGAGCAGTTAGACGCTCACTTCAACCGATTTCCTCCAAGGTACATCAGCTTGATTACAATTTACCATGTGTTGTCAACTTTCGATTTTTGGATATTTGCATATGGATTTTGATTCTGTAGCTTTTTTCCTGGTCACTGCAAACATTTATGCAAGTGCTTGCTTGCTGGCGAGATGTTGTATGTGCTAAATTGCGTTCATTGCAGGTGATTTCATCAAAATAATTTGGTATCGTGTTAATCCCTTGATTTTTTTTTTAAATTTTAAACGGCAACAAAGGACACTGACAATGAACTTGTTAGTTTTGGATTTGTTGTCAGCATTATCAGCATTAACGCTTTCATCTATTTATTTTTGCGTACTGTGTAATCACTAATTCTAGTCTTTCTTTTTATGTTCGAAAGGCTTGTCAATGCCAAGTTACTAAAAACAGAATTCGGTGGACATTTTGATTCATTTATACTCGTAGACTATAAGAATTAATATATTTACAGAGCTATAAAAAACAAATGTAGCACCCTAATCTACACTAAAATTTAACTAAGACTACTGCCATAGTAATAAAGGATTCCTCTAATACACGCATTACTGTGTTAGAAAAAGAATCAACCAATCTTCTAAAGACTACGACGCTACCATAGTAATAAAGTGATATTGCTAAACACGTTGTCACTGATATTCGACACTGCTCTTTCTTTTGCGAGAATAACAGAGTGGAACGGTACAAATTCAATGTTGAAAGATGCTACATAGTATAGACTTCTCATGTGTTTGTTCTAAATGGTCCATTGGGTCTGTGTTTGGAAGGGTTGGTAATTTAAGTTATATGCTTAAATGTGATCAGAAGATATAGTTGTACTGGTAACTAAAACTGATGCATGGAATCTGTTGTTATTTCAGTTATTTGCTTGATGTTAACATGGACAGAGCTGAAGATGTTTTATTACATCAGAAACTTCTTGCTTTGGCAAGGGACCCAAGCAAGCGTCCTGTCTACAATATACGCTTTTTGGAGGTACCGCTTTGTTTTGTTTTAAATAATAATTTTTTCCAGACCTGGTTTGGAGAGACTTAGGTAATTATAATATCATAAATTACTGGACAATTTTATTCAATATGATAATGAAGGATAAGTTATACCGTAAGGTGTAACTTGGAATTGTGAAGATCCCATTCTTTGTTGCTCCTTTGCGTTCTTCTACTTTTGATTCATTGAGAACTGTTAGAAGTTTCTGAGGACATGATATTCTCTTTACAAAGTGCAAAAGAAAAAGGGAGGGGATAGAGGAGGCGATATCGATTCTGACTTAGTGGCTGAGTATTCAATATGAACATGGCTGCAAAAAGCAAGTTTTGGTGTTATGCTATGGGCATTTATGTACTTGCATTTTGGAACTAGTAGTCATTGAGTATGTTTCTACTTGATCTTCTTGTTGGATATCTTGCATCAACATTTTGTTGTAGGGCCGATGAAGACCTAAGCAAGCAACCCTAACCCCTGGGGGGAGGGTGTCAATCTGTGGCTCCCTGTGTGGGGATTGAGAGAGAAACTAAGCTAGGGAACCGTTCCTTTAAATCAAATTATACAGGGAAAGAACCATGTCCCTTAATACTGTGTGGATTACTCGTGCCTCCTTGATATGAGACTGCATCGTAGCACTGCCCTTTAAGAGTTGGCATCCTCAATTTCCATGTTATACTGACTTTTAGCTCAAATCCGGGTACACTCACATCATTCTGCTAGTTCGAATATTAGTCCACACCTTCTGTATAGGCTGGCCATTTTGTTTTCTTTGTAGTTAGCATTTTTCTTGGAAGCCAGTCCAAACTCAAGGGAGACCTCATCCTTGAATCTGGCTGGTAAAGGTAAACTCATCCTCATTTGCTTCCTCTTGCCATGGCCAAGTTGTTCCCTCCACAAGCAGCTTTTTTCATAGACTGGTCCTTAGCTCTTATGCTAACTTGTGGAGGCCAAAGCAACCAGGGGGAACTTGCCCTTAAAACCAGCTTGTAAGATGAAAGAGCAATCCCCTTAAGTGCCACGCAGATTACCTATAGCTCCTAATGTGGGACTCTTTACATGGCTTATAATTGTAATGTGAGCTGAACTTTGTACTTTTAAATCTGATCATATAATCCTATCATTGATATTTGTAATGTTCTCCTACTAAAGTTTTATACTTGGTTTTGGAGGGTATTGTTTCTAAATTTAGTATCCTTCTAAATACGAATATACTCTCCTTTGGCCTAAAAATGTGAATTCTAGATTTAATTTCCTTATTTGAGGTCTCTATACATTAAAAACCAATTATACTCGGCAATTTAGTGATTCCTTTTCTTCTGGCTTCTGTCAGATTTTTTATTATCTTCAATGGATGTTTAGTTTTCACTTTCTTATCCCTCAAAATGGTTGGCAGCACATCTCTACTAGAATGGATGGTCAAGATCAGCAAATTGTTAGCGCTCATTCTAGCACAAGGCCATCTTCTCCTGCATCTAATGGGGAAGCTGTATCATCTCATAAAAGGTAGACAGTTTACCAAACTGCAGTGTATGATCTGTCATTGTTTCATTATTACCACATTAACCCTTAGTGATGATTTTTGAGGCACTTGTAGGTTTCATATGTATATGTATGTTTATAATAATCATCAATTATTAATCCTGGCTTTTCTTAACTATCATGTATATCATTTCTGTGAGTAGGGCAAGAGACTGTGCAGCTGAGTTTGAGCCTTGCTCTAAGCTTGAAGATCTAAATTTGGATGTTCGAAAGAACTCCAAGGAGGCTACAGACAACTACTACCAGAGGTAATCCCTAAAATCCTTTGCAATTTCTTCTTTCTTCAATTCCTGAAACGAATATCTGAAGAGAAGTGGCAATATTCATTTAACCAGGTTACAACAGAATTCTTTTTTTTTTTTTTTTGCGCCTACCTAGAGAGCTTTAGATGAGGTTTTACTATTTCTTGAAATTCAACACTTATCCCTTCATTTATGGCTTGAAACTCAAATATTACCCCTCATCCTTTGAGAAATGTGACAATCATTTGGCCTATTTCAAACAGTTTTTCCCCGTTCACTATGTATATGGCCTGAATATATGGCAAATCACCTGTTGGATTTAAGTGCTTGTCAAGGCCCGTGGTATTGCTGATTGCTGTGGGTTCACTGCCCAGTGCCTCAAAACACACAAATAGTGGGTTAAACGGAGAGGTGATGAGCAAGAGAGCCAATGAACAAAATTGTTGGAGGCAGTGAACTTTTCAAGGCTGTTAACGGAAACACAAAATAAGACCTTCAAGAGTAACATGGCTGTTAACGCCTAAGCATAGTTGGAAAACACTTGAACTAGCCTCTACAATTGGTGGTGGTGACACATTCTGGGACCAGGTTGACTATTGCTAGAGATGAAGTGTCATGTGTTATCATGCTACTTGAAGATATAAATGCAATGAGGGCCAGAAAAGAGCCCAAGGCTTTGATACCATGACAAACTAGAAGTCCGAATTTCTTATATTGAAATGATGCATAGTACATGGTACTTATCGATGCAAGGGAGGCTATTGTAGGAAGTAAAATTGCAAATGAGAACACAAGAGACTAATGTAATTACTATTATGTACATAATTGTCTAAATAATTTTATATTGACACTATTTCTAATAGCTTGGAACATGATATTATCATTTCTACATATGCTCTTTATTCTCTCTGAAAAAATTTCTCCTTTCATCAAATAAGAAAGGAAAAGAGTATAATATCTTCTTTGTCTTGGCTACTCTAGTAGGAACAACCTAAAGCATTTTGTAAACTAATGCCTTCCTTTTTGTTTTCTTAATCATATATGGTTTATGAAAGAGCATAATATCTTCTGAAGATAAAAACTTATGAATGACTTTGTTGTTCTTTTCCTTTCTGCTTATGGAATTTAAATTAGTCTTTTTATTTCTTAGCAAGTTATGGTGATTGAACTTGTAAAGGACCGATAATAAATTGTTAATTAGCTTTCTAGTCATAGGCAAGTGCCTCTACTGATGGTGCTTTTGGAAAATGAAATGCATGATTTACAGGATTAAGACGTGTGTTGGACCCTTTATCAACATGTCTGTTCACTTTGCTGCAAATTGGGTTTTTGCCTGTGCCAAGTGCTGTTTACATTTTAGTATCTTTGTCATTTGTTGCACTTATGTGGCAAATTGCTCAAATTGTAATATAAAATGCAGGCATGAGGAAGTGAGTGTTCCAGTTCATGAAGTTATATTTTCTGCCATTGACAAGCCGAAGCTTTTAAGCCAGGTAAGTTTGAAATATGTATCTTATTTGTCAAATATTGGAATTATATTTTTCAAAATAGTTAGAATTCCGATTATTTGGTGTTCTCTTGTATAATATATAGACGTTCAATTTCTGTATTTGTTCCACTTTAATGATTGATTGAATTTAATATCTACTTACCTAATGACAGAAGGCATTTGATGATGAATTAG